GCAGCAGTAGCAGCAGTAGCAGCAGTAGCAGCAGTAGCAGCAGTAGCAGCAGTAGCAGCAGTAGCAGCAGTAGCAGCAGTAGCAGCAGTAGCAGCAGTAGCAGCAGTAGCAGCAGTAGCAGCAGTAGTAGCAGCAGTGGATGTAGTACTTAATAGCCTACATGCACGTATGGATGTTGGCTAGGTAGAGTGCCAGAGAATGGAATTGGGATGCGGGATGACTTTTCGCTTGTTTAATGTAACCATCATATTCTTACAATTATTCACAAGTAATCAATGTATATCAAGCTTCTTACTTTAAAGGTATTGGTAGTAGTTAGTTAAGGATGTTAAAGCCGCGCTTCTGACGTATTCGCCTTATGCGCATATTGGCTCCTTCCTCGTGCTAGTTTCCTTCCTCTTTCCAAGATTGTGGCTTCCAGTTGACCTCATAATAAATTCAGACTAGCCGAGCCACAGGATATAATTTGTCGCCAAATTACAGCTGCAGGACCAATTTCAACTTTATCAAGCACTCCTCTCATGCCCACCTCCGATTATATTCGAAACTATGCCCTTGGCCAACCTGCCTGTAGAGATCAGGCGCCTTATACTCGATGCTCTGGTGAGAGATGGCTGCGAGCTGGCGTCCTTTGCTGCCGTATCGCGAGAATGGCAAGCAGTCATCGAGCCACACACATTCAAAGGGATCAAAGTCACCCCTTCACGCATCGCCGAGCTTGACGACATGACGCGTCGCAATCGATCTTACGTACGGTACTTGTGGTTTTGCTTGGAGTTGGAACGCTACGATTGTGACACTTGTTCTCCCGATAATGACGTTCCAATGTTCAACAGCGCCGCAGACGACCTTCTGATCAAGACGGGCATTCGATCTCTTTTCTTGGTCCTTGGCGCTTGGGGCCGAAGCAGCTGTCTCACACTTGATATCAGCGTCTACTCTACCAGTGATCCAGAGCATTGGTTCAAGTACCTCACATTTGAACCAGACGATGATGAAGATGACGTGCCACGGCTCAATCAAGCAGTTCCAAGCCAAATAAACGATGATGCACGGCATCGATGGGATACTACCGGTCAGGAAGCCATGACGGCTGATGCTACTGTCATGAACGTCTTTACTAGGATATTAGACGATCCGTTGGGCGAATTCGATGACGAAGAGATGGGCCGTTTTGGATGGTGGAGAGAGCTACCACCGGTACCGGCTGTCACGCGTCTGCTGTTACGTCAACAAACTCGCCGGCGCTAGGAGCCTGAAGCGCTTGAGGAAATGCTCAACCTGTTCCCTAATCTGTCCGAGCTACATTATGAGCCGTGGAGGGAGTGGGATGACATGCTCCAGGACTCTACAGACCGAGGTGAGACGGCATTTACCATCTCAGGGGCACACACTCACTAACACGTTGTCTGCCTCCTCCTAGATTATCATACTCTGCTTTACTCCCCTAGCATTCGAAGGCTGACTAGATTCACCATATTCGAGAATTTCAACCAGCGCTACGTGCACGCTTTCGTGGAGGAATATTGCAAACGTATTCGCTCACCAAATCCTGCTCTTAGCCGACTCCTCTCTGACGTTAGTACCAATTATGAATCTCTTTCAGCATCATACGTGGTGGACGCGGATAGTTTCTTTGCCGCAGACGAAGGTCAGCCACCAAAAAGATGGCCCAATCTGAGGCATCTGTTCCTTACTTCACAGTTGTTGGCGCCTGATCAAGATGAGACACGAATTACGAACATGCTTCGAGCAGCAGCAAAAGCGGCCATTCATATGCCAAAGCTTGAAACATTACAAATATGGAATGGACGAAAGAATCTTGCCGGACTTTTCAAGTATGAGGCCGCCAGAAAACAAGGCCAGACTTTTACCATTACTTGGAGGGGCACCTGGGAGTTTCTTTTGCAGACTTCAGTCATTCAAGCTTGGCAATCACTAGCATCTGAGGTCTCCGAACATGGAACAATTAGAATAATTTACGAAAGTATTGATGACAATCAGGTACGATGTCACGGAGATGCGATGGTCCTTCTAGAGCTTCCGGACGCGGTCATCCGACGTGTTTCGCTACGACAGCTTCAGAGAGAACAAATGTACATACCACTGCAGGTTCGTTCGCCCCCTACGCGAAATTGACTGTTTCATATACTTACTCAATATCTATAGTCACCAACCCTAAGTCCCTATATAACGGACCCTTACGGATTGCTGATGCCTCCTGATTCGATTCCTCTACTGTTATAGTCTGGTATCCGACATGTTTCGTAGCGTACGATTTAGAATGGAGAAATGTACATATTATTACATATTGATTTTTTATATTACGCGAAACTGATTCATTTTTTTTATCGCACAAGTACTCAGTTTCGGTAAACAGCAACCCTTAATTACTGTGTAACGGACCATACCCTTTTAGAATCCCGATTCGCACCGACTTAATTCGTTCATGGTTGTAGTCAGATATCCGAGTGTTTCGCTGCGACAGAGTCGGAGTGAATAATGTACATGTGCATAACCATGCAGGTTCGTTTATCGTCGTTGAGTACATGCAGTCACGGGGCCCACTTCTACAAGCGGCGATGATGAGGATGTCAAGGATGTGAAGAATGCAAGCCGTGATCAGGAGCGAGAGCACTAAAGAGTGAGCTGGTGGCCCTTGAGAAGAAGGAGAAGGCTGATGTGGTTGCGCAGATGGAGGCGCTGACATTAGAGATTCCTAATCTCACCAGGGCGGATACACTACACGAGATCCAGATTAAAAACCAGCACTCCAGCTATAGCTCAACAAGGCATTTAGCCTGTTTATAAAATTATTAAATCGCTATCTAGATGTATACTTGAAAGTAGTAATAGTAGCAGTGGCAGCTATCCTTGTGGACCTGCTGTCAATATGAAGAAGCAACTCATACTAATGTAAGCGACAAACTACCTACAGTCTATGAGTAGCCACTTACATGCAGACATTTGCATGCTCGCTCAACTAGGAATGCTGGGCATTTACACAGAGATTATTGTTCGTACGTTAATCCGCTCATCTTACTACGCTCTATAATTTAATAGAAATGTTGCAAAGAGTATTGAGTAGGAAGGGGAGTAGACGAAGAAAGAAGAGCGGCGTAGAAAGAGGGACACTGCCAATATGGGAGGTTGTCCCTTCGGGCTCGGTACCCGGAAAAGTGGGGATGAGGAGCTCCGTGACCGGTGGCAAAGGCCGGGGGAGGATTTCATTGGAGCCGGGGAGTACAAACAGGGAGGGATGGATGGATGGATGCTTTTGAGCTAGAGGAGAGAAAAAAAAAAAAAGAAACAGGTCGCAAATGCTAGTCTAAAGCTACATGGTGGACTATGACTCTACACATGGTGGCGAATGGAAAGGGCGTGCGTTGAATGGCCTCTGTTATCGCCATGAGGGACAGGAATGACGAAAGACTCTATCGTCGGTGGGCGGGTTACGTGCCTGATTACGCCAGCCGGCAGGTCATTTCCGGGGGGGTACTGTACCTTGGACTAAGCAAAGAGAGCAGAAGGGGGAAAAAAGACAAAAGCAGCACGTGTGAGGCACTCCCGGGCCGTAGCGAGCTTATGGCGCCGTAGGTTAATGAGGAGAAGTTGGAGCTGGTTTTTTGGACCTAGCCCGATCCTTTGGGGGACTTTTGCAAGGGCACTAGCGAGCGGTTGGTGATAACGCCGGAACCTCTTAGAGACTTTTCTCTCTCTCTTTTGCTGATGCGTTTCTGGATGTTGGATGATGGGTTCTTTTTGGTACAAGTTGAAAAGAGGAAAACAGGCGCAATGCTCTCTCTGTCAATTGGATTGTTGCGACTAGCGACGTAAATGCTGCCCTGTCTACAAGGACAATGATAATCCTTCTGTAACTCTCGTTATACTGCGCTAATCCACTCGCTTTCATCGTATCTAGCGCACGACGGATAGAGCGAGTGGAGGTGTGGAGAGCCGCGGAGAGGAGAAGAGGAAGCTCCCCCAAGAGGCTCCGGGAAAAACAACCTGCACGTTACCAGGCGTCGACGGATGAGCTGACTGCGCAGCCGCGGGGTCAACAAGTAGCAGCCAGGTAGCCATGGGGTAACAATTGGCCTATCAAAGTATTCATATCGCGGTGCTTGGCGTCCATCTTGTTCTTGTTCCAACACCACCTTTGCTTCTTCCCTCTCTCCTCTCTCTCTGCCTCTCCTCCCCTCCTCTCTTTTACGTAGCCCGCTCTTCGTTTTTGCCAAGTAGAAGTCTCTCGTCTCTCAGAAGTGATACGACTCTTCTCTCTCGCCTGGTTGGCTGCGTCTTCTCTTGCATTGACTTTTTGCTAAATGTCCTGCATGCTTTGAACCCACAAGCCGGCGTGTTCCTGGTGCAACCCACATCACTGCAGTCTTTTTTTGCGGGCTGCAGCCTCGTCTTAGACGGCGACGACGACACGCTTTCGTCAGCTTCGCCAACTACTTGCTGCAGCTTTTTAACCTTTTCATTTTACTTGTTTCACTTACACTTTGCTGCCCGCTTTTCCCCATCTTCCCAGACGCCACTCTCCTGATTCGAGCCATGCCGGCTCCATACTCTGACAATCTGTACTCCGGGGATGACAACCCGTGGGCGGAGGACGAGCAGCAGCAGCAGAATGACGAGCAGCAGCACGACGACAGCAGTGCGCTGTCGCCCGCTGACGGCTACTTCCACGCGTCGTCGTCAGGTCCAGAAGAGGCTGCAACGTCATCGTCACACTACACCTCGCGCCAGTCGTCCAGCGTGCCGTTTGTACCCAATGTCATGGTCGAGGACCCGACGCTGCAGGAGGACCGCGCTGCCGCAAAGGCCAGGGAAGCCGCCGAGGAGAGTCGCATAAATAGTGCTGCTGCGGGCGGCTCGACTCCCTTTGAGCATCGCCAGCCGCATCACCAACCTCCAGCCCAGGAGGCCAGCTTCCATCAACCCTCTCACCCATTCCGCGCTCCTCCTCCCTCTCAAGCTGTTGCTTATCCCCCGTTCCAGGCCCATCGCCACCAGGCCTCGTCGTCCTCTTCGTCGTCAGCCTCGCCTTCTGGCCATCATCACCGTCGTAGCATTGACGAAGAGGTCTCGTCGTTCCAGCCGTCCAGTTCCATGGGCCGGCCTACAGACCAGTACACGGTTCATCGCCAGACCGACGCACCACCTGCTTACTCACCCTCAGCCTCTTCGCCACCGCTGCCTTCCAGCTATCAGACATTTTCACCTCCACAAGCCGCTGCGCAGTCTGACAGCATGGGCGTGCCCGAGGAGAACCAGTCTTTGCTTCCACGACAGCCAGAGTCCATGGGCGGACCGCCCAATGGATCACAAGAGACGCTGTGGCGAAGAATCAAAAGACATTCGACTACGAGAAAGAGAGTTCGCACCTTCCTGGGTGTGCTGCTTATCATTTCTATTGTAGCTGCCTTGCTTGGTGGCACCATTAGCATAAGCAACAGCGATCGGGTGAGTACCTGCCCATTATCAACTACCTACATATACACAAGAAAATACACATGTCTAACAACATCGCCATCTAGAAGAAGCCTGGCATCATTGATGACTCGCCCGTGAAGAAACCCACGACTAACAACCCGCCTCCCAACATGGCGTGGCCTCCGAGCAACAACTGCCCCGGTGGGCCCTACAAGGACTCCAAGATTAACGAAGTCGTCAGCTTTGGCACCAGCAAGAAACTCAGCATTATTCAGACCATCGAGAAGGACGGTAGAAACCGCCGAGGACCCACGCCAAACGTTTATGGCGAGGTCATCCTGCAGCCTGTCGATACTGCCTCTTCCGGACAGATTCAGCTTGAAGTCGCTACCAACGACGAGGATTTGCATGTCGGTGTCGACTTCAACAAGCGAGACCAGCAGTTCAAGGTGACTGTTCCTCGCTGGGTCGACTGGAGGGAGCCCAGCTGGCGGCCTTGCATCCAGATCAGAATCACCGTCTCTGTCCCTCGTGAAGCTCAGCTCGAATTGTTTCACGTCGAGACTGTCCAACTCAATGTAGCTGTCAAGGATGGGTTTGTTCTAAGCTCTGTCACCGATGCTCAGATCAAGACGATTTCAGGAGACGTGGCCACAGGCAGCCTGCCGTCGGGCGATGTAGCGCCGTACACCTTGGCCTCTCGGAGCATCATCATCGATACTGTCAGCGGCGATGTCAGCGGCTGGTTCCCTCTGTATGACCTTCTCAAGATCCACACCGTGTCTGGCGATATCAAGACGGATCTTACCCCAAAGCCGTCACAGGATAAGAAGCCTGAGCAAGCCGTGCTTAGTATTGAGACTGTTTCTGGAGATATCAAGGTAATTGAGCCGTTGGTCAGAAACAAGCGCGATGACAAATTCCCTCCGCGGGATTATGTCGTTGGAGTGTCCTCATCTTCCGGCCAAATTATCGCTGAGCTGGCTTTTACGTCAAAAGCAAAGTTTGAGACCATTTCTGGAGACCAAAGGGTGACGCTGCTGCCTCTCTTTGGCTCCAGCTCGTCGCAACCTAGTCTTTCGACGGACACAAAGAGTGGAAAGACGACGTTGACGCTCTTCGAGCCGCTATGGAAAGAGGGTTCAACCCGTATCGGTTACTACGATCCTGCGGCACCATCAAGGGATAAAAACTCAAAGCTGGACAACTATGACGAGCCTTGGATCATTATCCACCCCGACCAACAGCTGGACGATCTTCCAGACGCGGAACTCACATCTACCCCGAATGCCAGCGGCGGAGGCGATGGATTGATTCGTCTCAAGTCCCACCACGCGTCCATCAGCGGAGATTTTAGGCTCAACTACCCTGCTTCGTGGGAAGGAGACTTTGTCTTGACGACTCTTTCCGGCGGGCAGGACATTCGCGGCGATGATTTGCACTATAAGCGGTCGAGCGGTATCATTAAGCGCATTGAAGGGACAAAGGGCGATGGCAAGTCGGATCTGACGATTGATTCCATGTCTGGTCGTGAGGAGCTGGTATTTGGAAGTGCTTAATGGTCCTGAAAGATATTTTTTTTTTTAAGATTACGATGACGAAGAATTTGTTTTTGAGATGATAGGATGATACCATAAGAAAGATGGGGAAAAAAGAAGACGTTGGTGGATAGGGAGAAATATTTGAGAGACCACTGCTTAATTTACGTCGGGGTATGAGGCACGATTGCATGTTCAGAGACATATACGACGAACTGAAGAGCGAGCACAAAACGAATTAATCGACTTTCTTTTATCAATTTATCTATTTGAGCATACGGGGGGAGAAACGATACGACGCTCTTTAATTAGATAATGCATAACGCATACAATATGACGTTGTATTATTGTAACAGGAATAAGTGACTAATAAATGTCAACTCACAATGAGAATGAAAATTAGTATGCGTGTATGAAAGAACTATAAGCTAAAAACTGCTTGATGCCAGTGTATGTATGTGCTGAATCATGCTTGCTCGTGTATCGTGTAATTATAATATCTCCTCCAAAACAGCAATAAATAATGGTAAATTGAAAAGTGTAAAAGAATTTCTCATTTTTCTGAACTAAGACAAACGACAAGTAAGGGTATCGGTTGAAAGAAATATAACAAGAGAAAATAAACCACAAATATTAACCCATCGTCTCGAACAAAACAAAAGGTATTCAAACTTGTAAGAAAAAGAGCCAACCCCCCGTTGCATATAAGTCCAGTATCATCAGATGGCGTATGTATCTCGTTTGTCAAGATTTGTTTTCCTTTCCATCAGAATATTCGTGCAGCGTGATATTATCATCATCATTTTTTCATCTCATCTCGTCTCATCTCGTTAATGTTTTTTTTTTCTCCCTCTTTTCATTTTTTCTTTACGCCAATATGCGCAATTGCAGACAGTAAAAACTCAACACAAAATGCCACATTATGCCGCCGTATGCTGTACCGTATATGTCAATATCAAGCCATTTCGTCAAAGAAACCTTGTCTCTTATTATGTACTCTTCCCGTCTTTCATCAAGAAAGCATAAAAAGGGGAAAAAAGTAAATCATTCATCTACCGACCAGGGCAGGTCTCTATTGCCGACTTCAGTGCACGTCAAGTACCCAATGCTGTCAGCCACTCGGCTGGAGCCGCTCAAGTCCAGCTCGAGGCCGCTGTTCATAAGGGGCCGCACCACAGACCGGGCCATGGCCTTGAGCTCGTCCATGCGCTTCTCGAATCGCCGTAGGTTCTCCCGGCTGTAGAACTCGGGCGTCAGTTTGAGAAACTTTTTGCACTCGTCGTGCCCCAGAAACGTGTCCGGGTTGTCGGACCCGAGAGTGCGGTACGCTCTTCCAACAGAGGTCAGCGGCGGGGCCGGCGGAGGAGGTGGATCGGCGGGGCGGTTCTCTCTGGACCCCCGATACTCGGGCGGCGGCTGAGGCGTGGTGTTGTCGGCGATCCATTGGCGGAAGAGGCTCGTGGCCAGCCAGTCGAGGTAGCCGTTGTTGGGGGTGACGCGCTCGCCCCGGGACGTGTTGAGGTTGAGGCGGAACAGGCGGCCCTCGACCCGGCTGACGGTCTCCTCCAGCTCGTCCACCTTGTCCTCGATAATGTCCAGCACAATGTCGGGCATGGTGGCGCGGAGGCTGCGCTCGCCGGCGGGCCACTGGCCGACGACGTGGATGAGGGCCTCCTGGAAGATGACCTTGCTGCGCGCAAGATAGCCGAGACGGAGGTAGGAAATGGGGTATTTGGCAATCTGCTTCCATAGGCGCGACTGGAACTGCAGCAAGTGGTGATCCACGCGGGGGCCGATGACGGCCAGAGCATCGTACTGGTCTGCCAGCGTCAAGAGGCTCTTGCACTGCACGTAGGCGTCGGCCACGTTGATGCTGTCCAACACGGGCGGGTAGTTGTAAAAGGTGCGAAACAGGTTGTCGTAATCGCGCAGCAGGTCCTCGTCAGCCTGCGAAAGCGTCTGCGGCTGGGCGCCGAGGCTCATGACGGAGCGCGAGTAGTCGCGCTTGGATGAATGCGAGTAGCTGCTGCTCTTGTGATGCGAGGAGCGCGAGGCCTTGGGCGCCGCGCCAAAGAGCGACGCCGTTGCCATGGGCCGGGGATCCTCGCGAGGCTCGTCTCGCTGCACCAGCATGGGAATGTCGTTCGGCCCGGAGCCCGAGTCCAGCTCGTACCGCCATTTCCTCTTCGGCGCCGCATTCTCGGCGTCTGTTGTCTCCCCGCCGTCCTCACCGATCCGAGACAGTTCGTGACCGCTGGGGAGCAGCGACTGCGCCCGCGACCACTCATTCGACGTGCTCGCCTCGAAAAAGCCGCTGCATCGCGTCAGGGTGTGGCGGTGCAGCAGGTATCGATTCTCGACGGCACCTGCGCGGATCAGGATCTCGACGTCGCCGCTGTGGGAGAAGACGGGGAATTCATTCTGCGGCAGATACGAGCTGGCGGCGCCGACTGTCGAGCGATTGTAGCGCTTGCTGCGAGCCGACGGGCGAGAGACCAGGGACGAGGTGCCGCGGATTGCGAGAGACGGCGCTGGATCGGGTTGGGAGACCATGAGGATCAGCTGGAGTTGGCGACAAATCGAGGTGAGACGAGGAGATGCGAGATTCGGCTCTGGAGGCGTTGACTTTTTCGTCCGTCTCTGCTGGTTATTCTTGGAGCTCGGCAGCTTCTCTTCCAGCTGGCTGTGGCCTGCTGCATCAGCGAGCAAAAAGCGTTAAAGCCAACCAGCCGGCCTGGTTGTTGCAAAAGGTGGTGGTTGGAGTGGGGGACAGCGGAAAAGCAGGATTTTCGTTTCTAGTCGCAACGCAGCTGGAGTCTCTAGCGAAGCCTGCGCGAGAACATGGCAAGAGAGTAACAAAGAATCAGACACGCAGTGAGAGGAGAAAGAGAAGAGAAGAGAGAAGAAAAAAGCGCTGATCGCCGCTCCAAGCCCGCCGTATCGGATTGTGTCGTGTCGTGTCGTGTGCGCGCATGCAGCTGAAGGCAGACTTGGTGGGCCAGTCGCCAGTCACTGTCTCGCCAAACCGCTGCAGTTAGCCTCGCCATGCACGACGCCCGCTAAAACCAGATGGCCGGACGCCTGTAGCTCCAAGCTCGGGTGGCAACGGCGCGGCAAATCAGAGGCGGCGGCGGATGGCCACCCCTGAAGACGATGCTCTGTAGAGGTTTGAAATGCCGCTGTTTGATCCACAGGGGCCACTTGGTGGTTGCCTCCATCAACTCTGATGTGCACTTACAAGTATAACATCCATCAGCTGCCTCTTATAATTAGTAGTAATGGCAGTAGCAGTATCATCGATGCATGCAGAGCATGAAAGTGAGAGAAGAAAAGGAAGAAGAAAAGGAGGGACAGAGAAAGGCAATGGCAGAGATGCTGCTGGGTTGGGAGGCAGCTCGAGAGCTGTTTGCAGTACAAGAGCTAGAGCAGCATCTCTAGACCTGCTTGCTTTGCATGACCCCTGCAGCAAGTGTGTGAGAATTTTCACATGCACGAGAATGGATGGGTATGCAGAGTTTTTTTTTTTTTATAAATTGTACCTTACAGACAGCTCGTCAACCGCAGCTTATCAAAGCCAGCACGTCCTTGTGATGCCAGCGCATGACTTATTGGAGCCTATCAGGTTCAGAGCGCGCTGCTCGGCGCCACATATGCGCCGGCAAAACAGCGGCCAATTCTGCCAGGGAGCTGATCTGATTGCAGCTCAAGTTCCTACCAAGGTACGTGGAACCTGCCTGAGCTCGTCTCCCACCAATCACAAAATATCAATCCTTGTCTGCTTCACTGCATCTTTATCCTCCACCTTTCCCTAAACATCACCAACGCCACAGTACATGGCCTTCCCCTGATCGAGCTATTGCAGCAGCACATGGTGGAATGAGCTCGCAGACGCCGGCTTTTCATCATGGCTCCAGCCCCATCTCTGTGCACGAGTTCCGGGATGCCGTCCTGGCAACATGCCGGCCACGATTTCCTACGGCATACTACGCCCGGCGTCAGCGTATAGGCAAGTGTTTGCATAGTACACAAATAAATATATAGAAATGCCATTACTAATATAACTTGTGTACTATAGCCCTTGCCATTAGCGGAGGCGTAGATTCCATGGCAATGGCATTTCTCTTCTCTTCTCTTCTCAAGATTTACAAGGGCATCAAAATTGCCGACAATCCTGCTGAGAGTGCCTTTGGCATTGTTGTAGATCACAAGCTACGAGAAGAGAGCTCCCAGGAAGCTTCTCGAGTAATCCAGGAGCTGAAGAAAATTGGACTCAAGTCCGTCATCAAACCATTGAATTGGAGAGAGCAGAGATGGCAGGGCATCGAGCCCTCTGATTTACCCAATGTTGAGAGCCTTGCACGCACGATGCGGTACCAAGCTCTGGGGTCTACTTGTAGATACCTTCAGGTTCCGAGTCTCTTTTTCGCCCATCATCAGGACGACCAGTATGAGACCGTTCTGATGCGGCTGCTCGCGGGCCATGGGTACAGAGGCTTGCAAGGCATTCGTGAAGCCAACGCTATTCCAGAGTGCTATGAATTGCATCATGTCTATAAGAGTGGCCTGCTTGATAACCAGATGCAAAAATTTCCCTTCCTAAGCTTCAAACCGCCATCGCGTGAAATGAAGCAGCTGCGGTTTATTTTAAGGGACGACAAAAAGGCCGAATCATGGGATCGGATCAAGTCATACCTCAACTTGGACGATACGACTACACGTTTCCCTGGACATCTTTCGCGGGGGTTTGATCCTAGTGTACCATACTTGACTCCTTTGCAGAGCGAGGACGGCGGTGTCATGATATATCGGCCGCTTTTGGAATTTGACAAAGGGAGGCTCATTGCAACCTGTGAAGCCAACGGCGTCCGTTGGTTCGAGGACCGCACCAACACAGACCCAACCCTCACAACCCGCAATGCCATTCGGAATCTTACACGACATCACACGCTGCCCAAGGCCCTGCAGAAGCCATCTGTCTTGGCACTTGCCCATCGGTCGAGGCTGAGGGCGCAGCTGGAAGAAGCTGAAGCCCACAGGCTACTGGTTCGCGAAAAGGTCATCAAGGATTTTGATCCCAATGCGGGTACCTTACTGATTGATGTGTCTACTCTTTGGAAGGAGAAGATGCGTAAAACAAGGAGCCCGTTTGCTCAAACCAGAGAAGAAGCGCGCAAACAAGCACGCAAACGCTCTCGTCGACTGGTAGCTAGTATAGCGATCCGCAAGCTCATTGCGTTCGTAACCCCAGAGCTCCATCTGCCACCCCTAGCCAACCTGGAAGGTGCGGTAGACCGACTCCTCCCGCAGTTATCAGAAACGTTCGATCAAGTGTTGGTGACGGAGCCAAAGACTTTTTCAATAGCGGGTGTACTTTTTGAGCCTGTGTTCGAAACGAATGCTTTGATGTGGCTCTTGTCCAGAGCACCGTATTCTTCACGACAGCCTTTACCAGAGCGAAAACTCCCGGGTTACCTCAACTACAGAGGTGGTGTTCTAAGATTGGACGCCGATAGCGATCAGCCAAGTCGGCACCGCCACTGGCGCGGGTGGAAAACAGCCAAATTATGGGACGGACGCTTCTGGATACGGGTGAGCGCCTGCATTGCAGCAAAATTTCACGTGCTGCCGTTTCTTCCCTCCTCTGCGAAGCCGTTTCGAATGGCCCTGCCTCCAAAAGAGCGTTCAAACTTTGAGAAAGTTCTCAAGCACTATGCGCCGAGAAAAGTGCGATATTCGCTCCCTGCTCTTTACAGCGTGGAAGAGTCAAGCGACGGCGAGGAATCCAAGCAGATTATGACACTGCTAGCACTGCCGACCTTGGGAATCCACGTGCCAGGTCTCGAGAGATGGGTCAAGTATGAGGCAAGATACAAGAATGTTGACATGACTTTGCTCGGATCCGTCAAGAAAAATCAAAGAAGTAAAGCGTCGCTATTGAAACGTACCCAGCCATTGGCCAAGAGACAGAGCACGGCACTGCAGAGTCAAAGAATACGGGGAGGTGGGCAAGCCAGAAAATCCCATGGTGTAAAAGACGATTTAACGAGCCTATGAGAATGGTTACTGCCTTTTGTGCCGGCATGGAAAAGTAATGCCTAGTACTTCAAGTCGAAACGCCAATGCATCCTAAAACAGACTAAAGATCCCAAAGCCAGGACTTGCTGCAGTCATACCCTTGGCTCCACGTTTTACCCGATATTTAGTACCAGTTGGGACGATGTTGTCATTGTTAACCAAGTGATTGGAGGACTATAGGGCTCTGTTCCCTTGCTTCCGCAGAGGTATCAACTTGTTTGGCCTTGGTTGATGAATTGGATGAAACGCGGCCAATCTACTTGTCGCAAAGCAGCCCATAGCGGGTTCAACGCACTTGTAAAAGACCATCTTACAGACATATGCATCGTGACGCATATTGCGGATGAGCGCGTCTCATCAGCAGCTGTCAGATACCAAAGGAGTCGAGTTGTTGACTTCAGCTTAAACTGTTTACCGTGGCCCATATAAGTGCATTGCCACTTAAAAGGGGTTGCATTTGCACAGCCCTGGCTGCCTCGCACAGATACCTATAGTTGTCTGTTCCATTTTTAACTCGTGTCTCTCACACCTAAATACTCTTGTTTGTCCTCGTACTCGAGTGCGAGCGCGTCCTTTATTCACATTCTGGAATATCTGGAACTTGGTATTGGCTTATCAGGGAGTACCGCTAGCTACCTAAATATTTAAGTGATACTTTAGCACCGTTGGGCCATGGTTGTTGGGACCTGATTCTGCGCCTGAAAAATGGCTATAAAGTCCTTGTTGCCACGATACATGTGAAGGCCATAAAAAACGAGTCATAGCATATAACATTCGCCACGGAGGCAGCCTATGAAAACTATTGGCAAATAACAAAAAACAGTGTTCGTGTTGAAGGACATTTAGTATATCCCTCCGAAAAAACGTTCATCCGGGCCCCAGGCTGCCCGCTGCCTATAATCTGGGAACTGCAGCCGTGAAACTTTGGCAGTCCCATCAATTCCATTCCTTCAAACAAATACTTTCATTAACTGAGGATTTAGAAACCAGAACATGAAACGTGAGCCCTGAGCCTTCAATCGCCGGGATCGATGCCAACGTTTGCCTTTACAAGCCACCAGGGCATCGACAAAAGAGTACCAGCTCTCTCTCCTGATCAGAAACAAAACCAACCCGTCACGACCAAAAACATTTCCCATATTGACATGATAAGGAGATTCAAGCAAAAATAACACCGAGGTATGTGTTTCGCCACCATGATAAGATATCAGAGGAGGAGAAGGATGGGGAGGAGAAGGAGGACAAGGGAGAAGAATGAATAGGGATTAACGTGAATGAAGTAGGGATGATCTTTTAGATGAGATTTCTGCTCCGGCGTGCAGCAGCAGTCCGATCTATCAAAAACGATGTTATCAATAGGTAACCGCGATAGACCTATCGTCAGATGACCATCATGACACCAAGTCTTCCGATGTGCCGTCACTGTGCGTGCCATACACGCCACCTCATCAGAGCACAGGCTTTGGACGACATCTGCCATGAGGGGGATACGATACGGGAGAGGCCAGGGACTTCTCTGCCTTTGCAGAGACGACCATGGTGCCATAAATCATGGCCATATGCCATGTCTTCATTGTTGACGAACCATTTGCCGATGCTCACGCCCGCGACGGTACTTAATCTCAACAGCCACTCCCCGATCATACGTGCTTGGAGCAGGCTCTTCAGAATTGATACCCCCTTTTGGCTGGGGAGCTTCATGCCAATCCTTGAGAGTTCGAAAATCTCTTTCTGCGATCAAGCCAGAATCTCGCAGATGGTCTAGGAAGTAAAAGTCTGGCCGGATATCGAAGATTGTCGAACCATGACCAAAGTGGTGGGCAATGTGGTGCATTCTGGCCCTGAAATTGCGTTCTCGCTCACCCGCTGTATCATCTACGGCGTGGAAGACAACGTCATCACAAAACCAGCAAATGCAATCCCTTGGAAGCCTCCACATGAGATGATGGTCGCAGATATGTTGCACCCAGTCATCTACGCTATTCAGATCGAACGTCTCTTCGCAATCGGAATAACCGACAAACTCACACGGGAGCTGTGGCCTGTGGATGGCTACGTTAGCACTTGCGGCCCAAGACAAGAAACGATGCGCTGCGGAAAGATATACCCTGGTGAGACTGACGACGTGGAGGACAAGGACCTGGCCGAGTCAAAGACTGAGGAGCACGCAGAGGAGCGCTGGGTCCCACTGCTGGCTGAAGACAAAGCGAGTGGTTTTCTTGAAAGCTCGATGCGAACGGGCTCAGAGCTTCCTGTTGCAAGGTACCTGGATCTCCTCCGATAAAGATCACTCAGAAAGCCATAGATGTCGTCGGGCGAGAACGTCGTTGACGGTCTCTGATCTTCGGGTTGTGGCGTCATCATGCTGGCAAAACGAACGCTGCCCGATCAGTTTAGCCTGGGCTGTCAGACTACCCCGGAATCGTTTCTCTCGAGATTTGGCAAGCAACCGGGAAGCTCCCTGTACAACAACCTTGTGTGCTTGAACACAAGGTTCGAACGACAGCAGCGATAACGAATCTTGATCGGGGGCTCCCAAATAACAGGCCAAACAAACTGAGCGGACGCTTGGTGTTGCGCGGCTTGTGAAAGAAGCAGCCCAATCGCCAGCGTGCGCTAAGTTGCCCTGACACCGCAACAGCTGGGGCCTCTGTTTCCCCTTTGCAAGAGGAAGCAGAAATGCAAGTTGAGAATGATAAAGGATATACTTTTTTTTTCTCCTTGTGGAGTGGCAGCGCATGTGGAAATTTGGCTGGGTCGCTTGGGGGGGGGAATTAATGACGAAGGCAAGCCAGACTGTCTTGTCTCACTGCATACTACTAGTTCTCCACCGGTCTTGCTTGCGATAGTACCTACTAAAATGTTGAACGGCGCTCGAATCATCAGCCAGCAGAGCTAAGAAGCTAGATGTGGAATTTATCTTTGCACACGCGGTGTACGCCACCCATCACGGAGATTGGAACGACGACATGTACTGCCACATGTCATTTGATGCAAGAATGCAAGAGAAGCCTCGCAGTTGACATGAATTATGATGGTTGGTCTACTGTATAAAAGAAAGCCGAGACATTCCGCCAAGCCGGCTGTTTTATCTGAGCGGTTCTTATTATGTCCAATGAGAGGCCGAAATATGAAGATATTGGCGAATTATGTGGCAGACTCTCACCGACAATGCTGATGGCTGCCCATTGTCACGACCTTCATTGATATGATAGAGGCGTGCTGATTGTGTGGTACGTACGGTGGGCATGCAGCAGGTCAGCGCCTATCTACGAGGCCGGACCGTTACATCGGCGTCGTGTGCTTGTTAAGCGCCCATTCCCGACAGCACTGGACTCTGAACTACCTTACCAGAGAGCTACATGGAAAGTAGATGGCGAACAGCGAACAGCGAACAGCTCTAACCGCCATGTTTTGAGGCTCTTTGTGGGGTTCCGTTCCCCGCCAATCTGAAAGTTCCTAGTGATGGGCAGAGATGCTTATACGGAGCAGGCCTGCGAAATACTACAAGCTTTATTTCCTCGGAAATTGGGCGATCGGCATTGTTCTAGACTGGCTATCGGAACCCGACACCTTGTCTTTACTATACTTCAGTTGGCTAACCACGGCTAAGGAGCTTCCTTGCCGCAGGGGGAGCAAGCAGTGAGCTCTCTTGTACGGTATAGCCTGCTGTTGTTTCTTCTCCGGTATATAGCCAAATGCAGCAAGGAGTTTCGCATTCCATGCCCATTGAGATTAGTGTCGTGCCAGCGTATACGGCTCAGCCGTTGACACGAATCATATCTCAGCCCGTCTCGGCATAACACACACACACACTCACACCTACACACAGCACAGCCCATTTTTCAACTCTTGCCTGTGAATCGTTTATGCCCGATTCCCAAGTCTTTGATGTCTAGTTCACAGGGACTTCATGCAATGCCTGCTGTATGACGCCGATTAAGTCGGATGACTTGATTCCTACCTGCGCTTCCTGTCTCCCGTGATCATTTGCGATATTAATCAATGGTGTTTGGTGGCAAAAGGTGAAAGCATAGAGTGAAAAAGGAAAGAAAGCAGCCACAGAACAGGGGTCTGCAGCGAGCCAAAAAGCGCCGGCCCGTTTTTCTAAGTGCTGGTTACATCGGGAACTCAGCTGCTCGCTCGCATTGCTCCATTGCAGGCAGACCTGGAGAACGATCATCTACTTGACGGTGAGAGCTCAAATTAGGAAATACAAGGCGCTTTATCAGTCCGGGGGTGGCGGCGCAAAGCAGCTCAGAAAAGGGTTTAGGAGGGCAGTATCGGGCATCAACACATGGGAAACAAAAGCACTGTACGGCGAAATACACACTGAGCCATGAGCAGCACCGTACAGACATGCGCCATGACGGCGGGTGGATTTGAGCAAACGGTGGCGCCCCGGGGTAGGCGGGCCGTTTCCCGTTGCCTAGCTGCTGGGACCCGCCTTGGAGTTTCTCGTACGGGAACGACGTAATGCTGCAGAATTGAGTTATACTGCTCTTTGATCCTTTGGCTTTTGGTCATGATGTGGTTTGAGCCGAGATGGTGAAATGGTAGATGGATGGGGGGGCTGAGTGGGCTGTGCTTGTAGGAATTTATGAGCATCACAGGATTGATAACGACTAGTAGTAGCTGATACGATTTTCCATCTTATTCCATTTTTTTGGTCACCGCGGTGGGAATAGGTATCATGTCAGTCATGTCTAGCTGTCTGTCTATTCTTCCGGACTACACAGGACCCTCGCCTTGACAATGACGTTGCGGTACTGCATGTGGCCCCCGTTTTCGTCCCCGTGCTTGATGACGCCGGGGAAAACGACGCAATTGATTTCCCGGCTAGCCAGGTTCTCCTCGTCTTCCTCCCCGCCAATGTCCTCCATGGTGTCTGGCTCGAAAAGGACTTGCTGATGGGGTAGGATGGAGGGCATGTAGACCCGCAGCCGGGCCTTTTGCACGACGAGCAGGCGGGCTAGCTCGATGGAGTTTTTGACGAGGACGCGGAGAGCGGAGTCTCGGGCGGTGGAATTTGAAGTTGAAGTTGAGGGTATTGTTGAAGGCGGAGAGGATGTGATGATGCGGTCGAGGAGATGGGTTATGCGAGATATGACGGCCTCGGCAAAGGTGTCTGTGTTGTCGTGGAGGTGGTGTGCCTCGCGGCGGAGGAGGGCCAGGGTGGATGAGCGCCATTGGTTGACGGGGTCGGTTGAGGCTGATAAGTCCCCGTTTGGTGTTAGTGGTCCTCGGATCATATGTATGGAGGAAGAGAGAGAGGAAAAAGAGAGAGAGGAAAAAGGGAGAGAAAGAGAGAGAGAGAGACAAACAGCATAGAAAAGTGAGTAATTGCTCCATCTGTTGAAAGTGCCGTGTGTCTTCTTCTGAAAGTCCCACGTAGTAGGCGTTGAAGACCATTTCAACGAGGATGCTCGAGACGATGGACTGTAAGAGATGGACTTTGGATGTGTGTATTAGTTCCTCGTACATGGGCACGAGTTGCCCGAGTTCCGAGAGCGTAGAGTCGCTGGCGTGGGATAGGTCTGCTTTTCGTATTCCACTCTGTTAGCCTCTGGTGATACGAGCTTCGTTAACTCGTTACTATTTTAAGCTTGGCAGCTCACCTAGTTTTGCTTTTCGAAAATTGGTTATGACCCAATTCTGCAAGCCGTTGCCCAGCTTGGTCATGCCGTCGCCAAAGACTTCATCGCTCGTCTGGTCGTCCGTCCTCGTGCTCGTGCTCACAAAGTCCTTAAGCCCTCTGACCTGGCCCCTGAGTCTTCGAATCTCGTCGTCTTTTTCCTGGAGCTCCCGCCGTAGGACTTCGACACCTTGCCGTAGTTCTTCCCGTTCTGCTTCGCGCACGTCGACTTCGGCCCGGATTAGCCTCAGCTCTGTATCTGTACGTAGATACTGCTGGTTCAGCGCGGAATGTTTGCCCTGCCAGAATGTTGCGGTCTCACTCTCTGTCTGGCTTAGTCGGTCTAGTTCTTGGTGGAACTCTCTTTCCATGATGCCCATTTCGTTCTCTAGGTAGGTGATGCGCTCGTCTTTCTCGCGGAGGAGGCTTGCTGAGGCTGAGGATGAGTCTGGCTGCTGCTGCTGCTGCTGCTGGCGGCGAAGCTGCGACTTGGAGATGGGGCTGCCGCTGCCGCCGCTGTTGTTGCTGGTGCTGGACACGCCGTGGGGACTTGACCCTCTGGCCGTGCCGGAGGAGCTGTTGGATTTGTCGCGAGCCTTCTCTTTGCGCTTACGATCCAGCATCGTCGGGCTCCCGTTGTGGGCGTCGTCTCCGGCTGCTGAGTTTGTGCCCACCATGGCTGCGCGAGGCGGCATCAGCGGCATCGTGTCGGAATTGCTGCTCCCTGCGCCTGTTGCTGCTGCTGCTCCGCCTATCGTGTGGGTGCTGTGGCGGCTTGTGTGTGTCGCCTGTCCAGTTCGCCAAGCTGGGCCGTTGCTGCTGCTGCGACTGCCGCCGCGGCGCTTGTCAGCTTGATTCATTTCTTCTTCTTCTTCTTCTAGTAATTGTTGTTTCGCGCGGTGCCGTATCGGGTCGAGGTCAGTTTGCAAAAGTCGCTGTGGTGATGCCGTGGTGGAGGACTGTACGACACCGGTTCGGCATGATGGCTGATGGCGTCGAGCTGGCAGCCTTTGGTCTGCGCCCTTTTTGTAGGCGAGAGCCTGTCCCCTGATCTGATTTGCTCAACTCCTCACGGGCAAAGGACAATTAAAATAATGCAAAGGGGGAGACGATGCTGGTTCGGCGGCTGCCTAGAGGTCGGATGCGAGGATATGGATCTGGATATAAAGACTTGGGGACGTGCTTGACAGGGAGCTGCCGCAAATCTGCCGACGGATCTTGGGAGGGGCTTGGGCCAGCGCTAAGAGCTGCCATTGTTCTGGAGGCGCGGGGCATCACCGAAGAGCTTCATGCTGGTGTTGCAGCTAGAACAGCTGTAAACGCCGACTTTTGTGAAACAGATGTATTCTTTGGAGAAAAAAGAAAAAAGTCGGTTCGTACTGAATCATTTCGTATTGTGTCTCAGTTTTTTTTTCCCTCAGAAAAAATGATTCGTGCTCAACCGTACGTTGAGTTCAATCGCTGAATTCGGTGTCTTGCTTGTCACTTGACAAAATCCTGTAGGATTGCATCTCCACGGTAAGAATCGACAGCTGATAAAACGACAATAATGGAACTCGGAGCTAAAGAAGCACAACTGTAATCAGGCGAATGTAACACTCTTATCACTAAGCATCTGCTCATATAGACAAGCAGCTGCATGAGAAACAGTCGACCAAGTCGTTGAATAAAGCTGCAACTTGCAAGCTGTAGCTTCTTGCGGAATAGCTGCATGGATGAAAAATGTTTTTAAGGATATAAAATTCTAGTGGCTTGTAAATGCAACATCGCTGTTGCGACGAGCCTTGAGCTATTCAAGTCTCAAATTCGACATCAGCTTCGACTTCGTATGCAGCATCGTCTGTCCCTTCAATCGGCTTGGCGCCCATTCTACACAGAGCGACGCGAGTGACGGGCATATCTTCGGCCCAAGTATAGTCATCGTAGCGACTCAACACTTCTCTCGCGTCGATTGTCAGCTTCTCTCGCCTCTTCCCTCTTGCTCCACTGCTGCCGCCACTGTTCTTGACATATATGGTATTGATGATGGTAGCGTGAAGCAGCAACGGTCGGTTTTCATCAATCATCAGCCCACTGTCTTGGAACGGTTTTTGTAGCAGCTTGCAGAAATCGTAGAGAATGCCTGCAGGATCTGAGGGAGGTGCGTATAATACAGTTGCCTTTGCTGCTGGCTGCATTGAGTGTAATCCTCGAATTGTGAGAGAAAGACTGCTGTTTGACTGTGACAGCTGACTGTCATCGAGGCTACCACCGGACAGTGCCAAAGCAGCAGCAGACGTCTTATTAGACTTGGCCAATCTCGACTCGGCAAGTATTTCTCTCAACTTTAGGCCCCTGAGTATATCTACTGCCTTCTTCACGCCGTCCTTACTCAGGGACATGACCCCAAGTGTTAGATGTAGTGTCCCCAAAGGCCGGACCGCGTCCTTGGGCAGGCCAAAGCTCATTGCGCTGGTGACATCGGATCGAAAAGATGCAAGAGAGTTGGCCAGCTGCATCCCAGCGAGGGGTATGCAGAGGAAATGCGTAGGAGAAGGCTTTGGAGGCATGCTTGCACCAATCAGCCTAATGTGAGAGGGTGTGTGGCTAAAGGTCTAGGTATCTGCGAGAGGCGATTGGTAAGAAGCTGTCAAATATGATGGCTGGGGTAAATGTGATGAATCAAGTGGGCAATCTGAGGATGTAAGAAAAGATACACAATTGAGACACGGGATATCGGGTCAGAGCAACGGAGTACTAATCCTCCTTATCGGATGTAGTCCACAGGTACATGGCTGCCGTCGAAACCACCAGTGAGTAGCATCACGTCAGCATCACACCTCGCAATCATCTCTAGCCAAGAGAAGCCAGCAAATAACAATCTGCCGTGTGTAACATGAAGAAGAGCAGACACAGACTGCCGTCCCAATGAGAGTGGGCTTGGTGGACAACCGCCCTTGAACAACACACTGCGGTGCAAGTAAGCACATGCCGAGGCCATAAATCGATGCCACGATAACCTCCAAGTCACTCGACTTGACTCCGTTGTTTAGACGCAGCATGTATGGATCACAAAAGACGGGATCTTTTTTTTTTTTTTTGGAAATCTTCAAGCAAGGGGTGAAGCAATGTGCCGTAGACGACAGGGATGTTTTGGGACATGCGCCGTGGCATTGAAGAGGAAGAATGGCTCTCATCGTGAATCGAGCTTGAAGGAAAACGAATTGGAAGTGCCCCCTATCTTCGAGATGCTAGTACTGAGACAGTTGTTGAGAAGCTGAACGTACCTTGGGAAATCTTGTAGATTAGGAGATGAAAGTAGAGATGAAATGCCCATCAGTTGAATGCCTGAAGCTGGTAGATGAATGGGAGGCAGCCACGTGCATCTCAGTTCTGCCGCTTAGCCACAGATCTGTGCCAGATCGCGCCAAGCTTCATTGGGATGGCGCCGCCAACTACGTAATTTGTAAGCCCTCACACGAGAGCTGCACGAGAGCTGCACAAGAGCTTCCTCTAGAGAGAGAGAGGCCGTCAAGTAGAGAGACGTGATATTTGCTTGGCATGCAGATCATACTGGAATTTCTCTCTCAAGTCTGTTGGTATCTCTTCTACGCTGCCCCTCCCTGTACAGACGACTTCTCCATGTGTAACCAACTTTTCGAGCTCCCCAAAAAACAATATTTGCTGCCATGAACCTATCAATGCGCTTGTAAAGACAGCCGTGCGCATTCCCTATATCCTGCCAAGTTTCAAGCGCCAGCCCGCAGACAACAAAATCCAAGTTGCGTTGGTCGCGTTACTTGCTGCTGCCATCACGCATAAGTGATGATGTAAGTAAAAAGAAGTCGTGAGTGTTGATGATTTGGAAGAGTAAAAAAAGACATGGGTGAAAAAAGAGCGATAAAGCGGTTAGGATGAAGAGCGGAAAATGCCATGATTTGCATCATCTTGCTCCTCGCGCGTGGATATACAGTAGCCAGGAACCCCAGTGGTTCCCACTGTAGAGCCAGCACGCACAAGTGCTCCTGCTGGGCGTCGCAGGGGCAAGGCGCGTAGTCCTCAATGAAGTTTAGTTGTCATTGCCAGTCTTCAGCAAAGACATATTAAGCGCCATCCTCGTCGTCGTCATCCTTGTAGAAATTCCTCAGTCCGGTCTCGACCTCCTCGTAGTCGGACTTGACCGCTGTGAGCGCTTTTTTTATTTGCTCCAGGCACACCTTGACGTCGTTCTCTGGAGAGCCATCGAGGTTTTCTTGCTTGCCATATCTCTGGATCTTTTCACAACCATCGCGAACCTTGACCAAGCCTAGTGTCGCGGAGGAACCTTTCAAGAAATGCCCGAGTTCTGACAGTTTTTCGAGATCTTCGGCGTCCCTATATGAGTAGAAGAGCAGGATAAGCGTCAGTAAACGTGAGAAGAACGAGAGGGGATAGATGACAGAGGGTAGTGGTGTGCATTTAAGCGAGGGTAAATGTATTGTACCCCGTCTCATGACAGAAAACGGGAGGGAAATAATGCCAGAAGTCGGAAGGTGCAGGGAGTATTCGAGAGCGCAGCACGACGGCGAGTCGTAGGAATAACATACAGGGCCGTATCCATGGAGGCAAAGGTCTCCTCAGCTTGGTCAAAGAATCCAAACACAATGGACGAGCTGAACTCGTTGTCACCAGGCTCGTCCATCTCGAGAATCTGCTTGAATGTCGTCAGGTCGATGGTATCGCCGAAAATGGCCTCGAGCTCCTAGACATCCAGCATTGTTAGCCTGTGTAACGCTCGCGGGGGGTGCGGGAAGACCAACTTTGTCGTCGGGGAGCGCCATTGTCGAGGATGTGCCAAGGTCAGGAGCGAAATCTGCGCTTTTCTCGGTTGCTGAGCAGAGAGAAGATGGCCGCGATGGAGGGGTTGCGGTTTAGCAGAGAGTGGGGGAGGGCCAAAGAGCGTCCGCGGCGACGGCTTTAATAGTTTGACGAAATGCGACCCACAGGCAGTGAGAAGGAGACCCAGATGAGGATCTACGGGTGAATAGGGTCAGCTAGAGACGAGGAATCAGGCTGCAATCAAAAGGGACGGTCAGCTCTCGGCGAAGAAAGGAAAAAAGAAAGGTAAAAAAAAATATAAAAGGAGGGAGAAAAGCACAGGTGTTTAGAGCGACAGGGGGCGTGGACAAGTTTTGCGCTCTCGGCACGTCTGAGAGAAGCTGCGTGAGGGGAGCCGCGAGGAGGGGTCCCGGTAGCAGGATGCAGGTTGCGGGATGCAGGTTGCAGGCAATAGCAGCTGGAGCAGCTGGAGCAGCAGACGATATGAATGGCCGCAGTGCCGAGATCTGGGGATCGTGAAACAGTGGGCGAGGATTGACTCACCAATCTGGCGTCGTCTCCGGCAGGGCACGAGGGTCTTGATTTCGTCGGGAGGGACGAACTGCGAAGATCGTCAAGCAACACGCGAGAGCGCTGTGGATGTTGAGGTGAGAAATCCAGCGTTTAAAAGGCACCACGGAGAGGGGCCCAAGATGGAGGCAGAAAGAGCTCTGCTCCGGGAAGGTACCGGCACCCATGCGCTTGTATTGGGGTACACGGCCTCCCAGGTAAGCATGCTGTAACCGTCAACTTACAGGCTAGGTCTAGGCCGCACAGGCGGCACCATGACTAGCGGATAGCGCTTGAACTGGCGCCGCAGTACCGCTACATGGTGCCTCGCCGAAACAAATTGACAACATGGAATCTTAGAAGCACTACTACAGGACGAGCAGGTGCTCGGATTGAAGATGCGATCTGCAGGCTTTGAATGCATATTATATCAGCAGCCGCATCTGTTTTCTTTTTCAAAGTTTTGATTTATTCTCCGCTCGCCAGTGATAGCAGTAAAGAAGTACATGGCAGTGGTAGTGGAAGAAAAGAGGATGGCAGCTGTTGTAAAGTGCATGGCACAATAAGTTCGCACCCATCATGGGTAAACTGCACGGGTAGCAAACATGTTGATTCCCCGGACGCCTCTTAGGCAAAAACTTGAGGTATTGCCAGCGGGTTATTTAGTACTCAAGGTGGATGAAAATTTTTCTTTTTCTTTTTCATTCCCCTGAGCTTTTGTTACGGCAAGCAATAAGCAAGAGGATATATTCCAAAAGCAGGCGATGGAGAAGTTTCTGATTGGACACTTGGCACTCCTTTGTTGTCTCTTCTCCCCTACGCAAATGCTCCAAGAAAAACACCGCGATGATGGAGGAGTGTGGTGATCTGTAGCGTGTCTGCTAAGAGCTGCGTCCATACAAGCGCATGGGAGCTGAGAGCGCGGTAACCCGGATTGGTTTTTGCTTTTAAGCTGATGCATGGCCTGTGCCGCCAAAGACGTCAGTGGGGTGAGGGGCACTGACGTCTTTGTCACAGCGGGCCGCATAGTGGGGCTGCAAGGCCTGAAGATTGGTTGGCGGGTGGGCGCCGTGGCTGATGCAGTGCGCTCAAGGGATGGAGAGCGCCCCGTATTTTGAGTGTTTTCGTCCTTGTACCTGTACAGCACCACCACCTGATGCTACCGCACCAAGGTGGCAGCAACGCCGCGAACAAGGCATCAACGTTGGTTGCACAAGCAAAAGGGGGCTCCGTTTATTTCGCATGAATCTTTGAATGGATGCAGCTGCACGAAGCAAGGGCGTGATACGCTCTTTTATTCTCCTTCCCCTTCCAAGCAGGGGGAGGCAAATCCCATGGGCTGTTTGTGGCGCCGTCATCGCATCACAGTCGTCTTTCTTTTTGAGAAAGTCCCGCCAAAAGAAGGTATGCTATTAATACAAGCATGTACCTGCTACTCGCAGTATTTCTGGACCAACTCTGGGCAGCAGTGGGCGGATATGGAAAAAAATGGCGCGACACCATGTTCTCTTACTCCCAAGAGGCATCTAGACCGAAGGGCTCCGGCCTGATAGACGAGCTAATAGCTGCGCTGTCGCCGCCTAGCTCAATTCACGACTCAAACAGGCAACGGGGAGAAGTGTCCGTATGCTGGCGGAGAATCAAATCCCCACCGTGGCCTGGTGTCGAGTTTCTTCGTCTCTGGTAATGCTCTCTGGAGCCCTAGGGTACATGTACGGAGTACAAGCTGCTCCCTTGCATGGAGTTTCCATGATACTGTAGTAGGGTAGCAGTACCTGGCACCTGCTTGCAGTACTCAAAGTGTAAATATGTGTGCACCAACGTTGGAAGACTTCATATCAAGGGCCTTGGGTAGCATGTAGGCAGATGCTGAGGCCGGGGTCCCGCGTGCAAACCCAGGTACAAGCACGATTGATCCTTCTCGACCCGCCCGCAGTTTGCTCTTTAGAGCAAGTCGTCTTCCCTCCATACATTATGCTAACTCGACGCAGAAGCTCTCTGGTCCAGGGGAGGGAAATAAACCGGAGAGCCGAACCATGAGAAGAGACACTGACAGGCTTCAACGCATGGAGGGGTGTGCAGGGCCGCAACATGGAGGGAGGGGAGAAGGGGGTGAGGGGTTACAAGCAGCAGGGAATATATGGATCAATTCCGCAGATGAGAGAAGAAAAAAAGAGAGAGTCAGGCTGTTCAGAAGTTCAGAAGCCATGAGGTGTGGTAGGGTAGCTTTGCTGCTGCTAGAATGAGGCATCCCACATCCCACCGCTCGGTAAGATAAGGAGAAGAAGCAGCTGGAGAAGAGGGGAGAAGCATGGATGCTCGTGCTCTTGCTCGACACCGGTCCAAATGCTCGCTCGCAGAACGTAATCGCCTTGTGGTCGTATCCAAGTTGATGCCATCACCATGCGAGATGCTTCGCTGCAGGTCCGGATCGTGGAGTTGAAGCAGCAGAGGTAGCAGTACCTGGGCTCCAGCTGCTTTGAGCCTCGTGCTCCTGCTTCCCGAGCTGATGGCGCCCATTACGTCTATGGCTGCAGGGGACCCGTCGCAGCGGGAGGCGGTTACATCATATTTGCAGGGCTCCTCCCACTTGACAAAGGGCCTTTGCGGTTCTAGACTCTGTGAGCAGCGCTTCACCTCGCTCTTTTGGGCACCAACTTTTGTAATACAGCAGGGGAGACGGAGCGGGAAGTGCAAAACCAGGTGGCGAGCTGCCACGAGATTCGGCGTATCCTTCTCGTGCTACCGCCTTTTTTGTTTCATTGTATGTTGGTCAATTTCAATGTTGATTAATGATTTATTTCTTGTCGTTATTGCGATTTAGTAGAGTAGAGGCTCTTTCATTTGCCCAATCACGATCAACGCTCGCTTCATTACGCCTGCAAGCGCACTTATACCAAGTATACACGAACGGCACTGAATACTAATTTTCACGTACCAAACACAGAGATAATGAGCACCGTATCCATATTCTATTGTAACCTGGAGTTAAAGTCATTTCACAAGGTCAGCCCAGCAGTTAGGGAATGCCACCATCAATAAGTGCCTGCATTGGAACTTATACTTGGGTACCTGAGGTAGGGATCTTAGCCGCCAGCAGCCTCTCAGCGGAGCCATGTTCATTCCCATTGCATCGATCCGACAATGCGCATTAATTTAGCAGGTCCCATGCGTTCCTTTCTGGAGACTTGAGTCATCTTGCACATGCCATCTATATTCTGCTGTGTTTTATTTAGGCCTTATTCTAGAGAGAGAGACTAGCCGCATGTACTGCTACCTGCTCCTGCCGTCAAGCTCCAGCGGGGCCTCGTGACTTTGCATGGCTTGCAAGGAGCCTCCTGCTAAACCTCCGACGTCTTCACGATCCCAGCTCAGTATGGGGCACAGCCGACTTTCATGTTCTTCTAGCAGGAGTTCCGAAGAGGTACAGTAGAGCAAAAACAAGCAGCTGAGCCGATGCGACGGAGCACTAATACCCAATATGGAGTCCCTACATGCAAAGCTGCAATAGCGAAACCCCTTATCATCCCGGCTCGCTGAGGGGGAACAAGCAAGAGTCTAGTCCAACAACCCAGCCCCGAGAATCCGAAGATCCACGCCGTCTCACGCAATAGCCCACAGTTTGCGCCCAAGGGAAAGCACTAGGCCCTACGAGGCCTTTGACGGGAGCCCTACAAATCGCTGCGGCTACAGTAGTAGGTACTGTGGTATGGTACACTAATTCTCATCAAAGCCGCATAAAGTACAGGAAAAAGAGCTTCTTCTTGGATGCTCTTCTCACCAGTCTCGGGAGGAAACGCTGGCACGAGCAGCCAGATCCATGCTGGAGAGAGCCCGGTCAAGTTCACTGTGACGTTTCTCAACGGACCACACTACACGTCCGCAACTCTTGATTGAATATCCCTGAAGCCAGAGCCCGGCTTGGCATGCCGTTCGTTTGTGCCCATGGATGTTCTAGACTTTCATTGCTGTGTCTCTTTCCTCTCAACAGGGCGATGATCTGCAGTCCTCAACACCTCCCTCTGGCCCAGCAAGCGCGGCCAAAGTCGCATCCATGCCTTAGCGACTCAGTTGATCCTGCATGGTATCAAGAGAGAGCAGCGAACTCGGATGTTATGATGGTGACACCCGGCGGGACGCATCAGCGCAAGCCCAACGGCAGTCAATACGACGGCGACAATTGGCTCGCAAGCAGCAGAGTGGTAGTAGGATCAACAGCAGCTGACTTGATATGGAGGGTCGGACAGCCTCGGCGAACAGGGCCAACAGTTGTCGTAGAACCATCTGGAATCTATTGACCAGAGACACGCCAAACGAATAATCACTCAAAAGTTGCCTCAGCATCAGTCGGCTGACAGCTTTGGTACGCGGCCAGGGCCAAGATGCGGCTGAAAATCCCTAGGCCAGCTTGATGTAGAAGTAACATGGGCAATAGACTGCCTTTTGGCTGAGCTATGAAGAGAAGAAAAAGCTCATAACGTTGGGACTGGTCCTATCAATGTGCAACAAGTCACTCATTCAAGGCCTACATAACGTCTTAATGTCTTATGGCACAACAGACACGGTAACACGAAGCTGGCTTTAGTAAAACTCTGGTGTTGGAGAATGATGAAGACGTAAAGCATCGCGTTTTGTTGCCATTTTCGGCTCTTCGGATCTTTGCAGGGCTATACTGAGCTGGTATATATGCTGTAGCTCAGGCGGACTCAGATTCTTGCCACGAATCTTTGAGATCGCTTTTAACGCATCTATCTCGACATATTGTCCAAATCTTGAACATCACCATCGCCCGGCATGGTGAAACTTGTGCGTGGGTTTGAAACATTGCCTAGCAGCAACATAGATGCTTTGGACAGCCTGACCGCTGCTCACATTATCCACTATAACATGGCAACCTTCAACCATGACCAGGATCATCAAGCTTTGGAGATGATTATTCCCTCTATCTTAAGCAAGAAGCAATGTAGCAGACTTTGGAGATGATCACAGTCACAGTCTGCGTTATTGTTTGATTCATGATTCAAGATCATAGCGCTGCCCATGAACATTTGCATAACTTTTCATAACCGAGGAACTAATGAGACAGGGCAACTCAACTCCACTTTCGTTTATACAAGACGAGAAGAAGAAAATGATGTTGCTTTTGCTTCAGATTTACGAATACAGTTTCAAAGCATATACCTTGCTCTCTTACGCTTGATTCCTTTGAGAGAACTGTTGGTCTCAGACTTGATTACATAGTTGATCAACCTGCTTCCGTTTCACCCGTCTCTTTCAGCACCCTCAGCATGCGTTGAGCAGCTTCCGGCAGCTCGACTCCCTCTTCATCTTCGGCCTCGCCATTAGCTAGCTGAATCAGCTCGGGCTCTATTCTCTTCCACAACGTCCCCACGGGCACATGTTGCTCTACAAACTCTAGGATATGCAGCAGCCACTCTGGGTCATTCCGATTTTTGAGAATAACCTCCTTGATGGGATCGATAGTCACCTCAGGGAACCGAGCAAGCTGCTTCTGACAGCCCGAATAAGGCGGCCAATTGGGATCGGCCAGCCAGCCGAGCAGTTCGTCCACATACGGCTCCATTTGCTCCGCCGTGTGAACCCGTTCAGAAAGACTTCGGTTCCCCATGCAGTCGAACTTGTGCTGCGGCGCCCACGCCAGATGCGGGTTGTCGATGAACTTGAGGGCGTCTCTGGCCCGGCCTGCTAAGCAGGGCACGGAGACGCCCTCGGGACTGGGTGCGCTGTCGGCAGCGGCCAGCGTCTCCAGGGCTGGCCTGTAGAGCTCCAGGGTGGCGAGGGGCAGGTGGCTGACGATGTCGTCGAGGGCTGCGCAGACGACGAAGAAGTCGAATTTGGAGTTGATGGGCTTGGAGAGGGTGGAGGAGATGTTGTGGACGACTGAAGGGTTGGCGGCCTGGCGGATGACTTCCAGCTGGGCGCCAGGGATGGACGTCTCGCTGATATCAGGCGGGGAGACTTGTTGTGATACTGCGATGTCGGTCATTGCTGCAGCCTTCAAAGGTTGTATACATGTATTGCGATGTCTGATGATTGAGTTGATGGGTTGATGAGTTGATTGAATTGATCCAATGATGAGCAACCAACCTCGTCTCAGGTAAGGATTCATTGGTCTTGATGGCTTCGCCGAGGGCGTCTTTACTCCACCCTGGCGCCTCCAGCTGATGCTTTTAAGCTTCTGCCGCTGTCCAGTCCTTTTGGCGTTGACAGTGTTAATGCAAGCTACTGCTCAGTATGCGTGCGGGGAACATGAATTCCTGCTGCAAATCACTCACTACAGCTGCTGCTTACACGAATGCTGCTGCTACATGTGTGTGTGTGCTGTTTATGCCGACATACCTAGTAGCTATACAGTAGACTGCCGGGTAATCCGTGATGGCGCAGGCAATCGTCGGGCGCGAGCTTCGGTATATGCGCCGAGGCCGGATTTCACCACTCTTAGATAAAGCACCAGGCCAGACTAGAAAAACACCAGCTCATCTCACCAGTGATAGTGGACCTTGTTTCATGTTTCAAGAGCATCCTGCACTCTGCCAGCCCATCCTTTGTTGTTCTGTTTCGTCCTTTTACTTTTTTTGTCGCCCCCCGCTGACAGCACAGCATTACACGTCAACTCTCCAAGCGACTAACTGGAGCGCATCGTCTGATTCGGCCTCTTTCGCAGGTGGAACCTCGACATGCCGATAATGCAATTAGGCCAGTCAGTGTGTATGAGGAACAGCCTCAGCGCTTTTCCCCCAGCGATCAGTGTGGCTGGTTCGCCTTCGCTTCAGGGCTCCCCCGACTGAGAGGCGATCTCATCCTTATGGATCAACCTTGTTTTTATCCCGCTTCGAGGCCTAACCCGCTACGGTTGATCTCCCGATCGTAGAAAGAATCCTGCAAATTGAAAAAGAATTCATCAAGCAAAAATGTCTGTTCTGGAATCCAGCGCTCAGGCTCAGGCTCAGGCGCATCCTCAGCCTGCCATCTGGAGGAGCACCGCAGACGACGACTCAACGCTGCTGGACGATCTGGATCATGAACCCACGGTGCTCAAGTGGTACGGCGACTGGGATGAGTGGCGGCGCGATATCCAGCCCTACATCGACGTCTTCATCTGGCGCTACATGTGGTCGGACAAGGCCGCCGACGACTTGCCAGCCTGCCCGGTGCCGCCGCAGGTCCAGCAGTTCAATCCTCACGCGAGAGACGTCTCGGAGCTGACAAAGGACGAGTTCGACGTGTACCATGGCCAGAACAAGATCTACTACTCCAAGAAGCAGGAGTTTGACCGCCGCTGTGAAATGGTCGACAAGACAAAGGCGCTGATCCTGCGCACCGTCGTGCCGGCCAAGGCGGAGGCGCTGGACGAGAAGCTCTCGCTGCGTGAGTGGATGGCGATTCTCACGGCCACTACGGCGCCGACGTATCGCCAGCGGATTGAGATGGAGCGGGTGCACTACAACAACGTGCTGGAGCGGTTCGACTTGGAGGGCGAGAGTGGCGGCGGCGGCGGCGTCGAGGCGGACTGGGCTCATGAGTGGTACAGCGCGGTGACGAGATGCCACAGACTGAATTTCCCGGAGACGCACTGCGGGACGTGGTTGCGGGACGTGGCGGATTGCATCTTGCCGTATTCGCCGGGGTTGTTTGAGAGGTTGATGCTGGGGGCTGATAAGCTGGATCTTGCGGCGATTGAGTGGAGGAGTCAAGCAGAGGGGGCGATTGCGTTCAAGAAGACGCATAAGTGCAGCAGCAGCAGCAGCAGCAGCAGCAGCAATCATCGACGGGAAGATTCTCAAGGCGACAACAACACAACATCTACCCCTCTGCAACCACAGCCCTTCCGGGACGACAAAGAAGTCGTCGAACTAGCCGCCGCCATCACGCCAGCCGAAGAAGACCGGATATGGACCTTTCTCGAAGTCTACCGCGAGATCCGCGACCTCGACTTCTCCGCCTCATCAGAAGCAGACGTGGCCCTCGGCAACGACGCCGACGACGGGGCCTCCTGGAAAGCCGACGAATCTCCCCTTTGCCCGGCCTGCAACCTCAAGGGCCACGAGCTGCGGCACTGCTGGTACGCGTTTGAGGACCGCCGGCCAAAGGGCGTGATGCTGAGCCGTTCGCGCCTGCGGAGGGTGGAAAAGGCCATTCGCTCGGATAAGAACCTGGAGCAGCGGGTGGAGGATATCTACACGGCGTTTACGGGGGGGAGGTTTTATCAGCGGCAGCTTATGCTGGGCTCGACGCAGTCTACGTGGTGATGGTGATGATGATGGTGATTTTTGATGAAGTGACTTTGTCTTTTGATATTGATGAATGTTGATGTGCAGAGCGATGACGACGACATATGAATTGATATGTGTGATCTACGAAATTTGTGCAACTTGGAAGCGAAGCAAAACATCATTTTCTTTCCTTCTTCTTTTCGACAAACATCTCACGACGGAATTGAGGCATGTTGTTTTCTTCTTCTTTTATTCCTAGTATTTGGAATATATGATATTCGAATTCGTGATAAGCTAGGCGACGCTTCAAGCCTCGCTGCTAGATAACGCTGACTGCTCTTGATGACAGAATCCCGAGCAGTGTAAAAAATACAGATGATGATATACAATAAAACACTAGCTTTGACCAAAATGCGCCAACAAACTCCTTGTGCCTTGCGTGGTATTCATTTCTACCGTCCAGCCCCTTTCCCATGGATATATTGCTCGGAACGCCGCCCAGAAAGAAGGAAAAAAAAAGAAAAAGTTACGATGCACAAGCAATGCAACGGTCACGCAGACCTCGCATTACTCTGCATCACTGGTAGCCTCTCCTCCCGTGGCGTTGCTGCTGGCGACACTGCGAAAGAACAGCAGTACCCTGCTTTGGTAGAGCAGAACCAGCCTCCATAGTCCGAGAAGCAAACACCTTCGTGATCGCTGCAGCAGCACCCTCCACGATCGGAACAGCAGAGGCCGCCGCGCTCGGAAAAGCAGCATCCATGGCGGTTGGAGAAGCAGCACCCGTCTTCTAGATAAGGGCTTAAGCAGCAGCAGCAGTATGCTAGCCTGTAACCACGGCCGTTGGTGTACATGTCACGTACCCATGGATCTTCAACGCCGTAAAAGGTAATGGGGTCCTGGTCGTTATGCTCGTGATGGCTGTGGGAGCCGCTGTGGCGGGAGCTGGCGGTTTGGTGGCTCATGGGCGCGGTGAGGACGTAGCCCTGCGTGTTGATGCTGCCGGGGCCAGCCGTGAGGGATGGCAGGGATGAGGCGCTGGTGTTGGATCGGACGGTGATGTGGACGTGGGCATCGCTTGGCCGAGGGCTGTTGGAGGGATTGTCAGTCTCTTTTTGATTTTATACATGAAATCTGCGTATAAATTGAAAGAAGCCACTTACAGCGTGGAAATCTCGTATGAAGGCGGCAATTCATTCTCGTCATTCTCGTCGTCGGCCACTATAGAGGGAAACGCATCGTCGCCAGCAGCAAGGCCGCGGGATGGACGGATCGCCGCCGCGACAGCAGGGGTTGCTGCTGGAGGTGGTGCTGGATCGGTATCGGGAGGAGGAGGCGACGGAGAGCGAGACCGAGGAGTAAGAGGAGAAGGCAGACTGTTTCTCTGCGGCACAACCACAATCTTGTCGTTGTTCGCGTCGCTCATTTCGGACATTTTGTAGAGGAATAAGTAGATACAGAAATCATGATGTTGATTTAGAAAAAAAAGAGCTTCCGGAGGGTTTTAAGAGCAATTCCACTCCAGAGCTTCTTTCTTGACTCAAGAATGCAAGTTCAAACGGCTCACTAGTAAACTTCTTACATACAGTACGACCCGGCTCTTCGGAACGTTTCAATGAATGGGCTGCTTGTAACTTGCCGGCGTGGCAAAAAAAAAAAACGCCCTGGTGAGTTGCTGTATTACAACATTTTCTATGGGCAATAGAGGGGCAACAGCAAAAAACGGGTGCTGATGGAATTTTCCCCCATATTATGGACATAATTTGCCCTTGGAGGTAAAAAGATGGCTTGCGGATGTAATCAAGAGCCCCCGGCGCTGGCGTCGTCAGCTGGGCGGAGCTGGGCTGAGGAAGAGGAAGAGCTGAGGCGTGGCTGCGGAGTGGAGGAATGTGTAGGCATGGGATGGATGAGCTCAAGTGCCGGGTATACATGAAAGTATGGATGCTTGTAGACTGGAGAATCAATTATGCAACAAATTAAATCGTCCTTGTTCTATCACTAATGATATCTGCTATCTGCTTTATTCCATCATTATCCTATATCGACAATCAAACAATTGTCTGAGCACGAGACTAAACACCACTCGAAAATCCGGCTCCTGGCGAGATCCGGGGATCCACCGTGACAGGTGCTAAATCTTATTAAGGTTATAATACGGAGTAACTGGAGTAACACTAATTTACTGGTGCTCCATCTGTTTGAATGACAGTTTCGTACATCTAAAACCTCTAAAGCATCTAATCGCTGGACCTTGCAGCTGCTACTGATGAGTTTCTCCCATGCCAGCACTAACATTGAAGCAAAAAGATGTCCTGCCAATACACTTCATGTGTATTAAACACCCTTTGACCTGAACACCTTAATCATTAAACTCCTTCCCAGACTCCTTGCCGCGTTGGAGTTACACGAAAAGCGAAACAATAATACAAAGCGCTACCGTGTATGCTGGTATCCAAAAATATGCACAAGAATTATAATAGACCGACTGTAAATGACACCGCCCAACTCCTGGTAGTGATAAGTCATGATATTGCTACCGCCCAAACCGCCCAATCTCGCTGTACGATACTCCGTAGATATCGGCAGATTCATACTTGTAGCCCTGATACCGCGACCGACATCTCATGCTGAGTATTATTTCTAGGCGTCTTAGGAGGAGCAATTGATGTAGCCGCCGAAAAGTTGGACTCGTCGACAGTGCCTCTCCTCCTCGCAATGATGCTGCCATCTTCCGTGTGCACTACGCCCAGCGGCAGGGCAGCGGCTGGGTCGACCGTCTGCGTGTCAATGAGTGCGAGGCCCCTGTTGCGCCGCATGTACTGGGATAGCTCGACGAGGCGGTTCAGCACGCTAAACTCCATCTTCAGCTTTATGCTGTACACTAGAGGCTTCCATGCGGTTTGGAGATCGTAGTTGTCGGTAAATTGGAGGACCAAGATGCTAATATCCAGAGCGATGATGACGAGGTTGACGAGTATCAGATGCACCATGGTGGTTCGATATGAGCCAGTCACAAGTCCCCTGTAACTGCGCAGGATATTGTACGTCTCGCGGATATACAGCACCGAAATAATGACTTCTTGCACGAAAAAGACTGTCAATTCAATCTTTTCAAAGACAAAGTACGCCTGCTCGTACTGCTCCGCCCTCGGCGTGTTGCAGAGAAAGATGAGCACCGTAAGGGGCACCAGCAGCCAGATTGCGTTGACAATGATCATGATGAGCACTGCCCGGACCAGCGTCGCCCTAGGCAGGACAATGTGCAGCCGCGAGTACAGCACGAGCGACTGGCCCGTGACCATGGCGGCCCAGCCAAAGATGCCCAGCGCCGTGTAGACGTACGTCGACAGCGAGCCGCCAACGGTGCGCAGCAGGTATCCCACGGCGCCCAGGGCGATGCCCACGGTCGAGACGACGAAGCTCCAGCAGTAGAGGCCGCGGTAGTGCTTGAAGGTGACGGCGATGTGGCACATCAGCTCGCCCGCGTTGTAGAGGGCCAGGCTGAAGAAGACGTACATGACGATCCGGGTGCGTTCGTCGTGGGCGTGGCCCTGGGAGACGAGGTTGCCCGCCATGGCCATTTTTCGACGATGCCGGGGGGCTTGGAGCGAGGAGATGCGGATGGAAGGGGAGAATGGGACGAGTGGCACCGCTCCGCTGGTTTCAGCAGCATGTTTCTCTCTGCGGCGGTGATGCAGCTGAAGAGCTGGGGGCCATACACCTTGATTCCTTGGTTTGGTGTGTGTGAGTGAGGTTGTCGACGCCTGACTTCGGTAGACCAAAGAGAGTGAAAGCTTCAATGAGTGAGATTGCCAAAAAAAGGGATTGAAATCTAGGTTTGGGAAGACACAAAGCAAGAATAGAGAGGGAGAAAATATAAAAGAAAAGAAGCAAAAACGCGCGCAGCAGGTTGGCTAGTCAAATATGTAGGAGAGAGAAGGCGCAAAAAGCTCAGCTTGCCGCTTGCATATGCAGGCATAAGTAGACTATGCGGCAGCTCCAGACTGCCAACATACACGGATATGCTGAACTGGCGATGACTTATACCGAGCTTGAACTTGATTTTGTGACAGATCAACAAAGAAGAAACAAGTGAAAGAGGAGAGACCCAGGAGGGCAACCCGGTGACCGGGGTCGAGACCGAAAGCCCAAAAAGCTGTCTGGCACTTGCGCGGGACCAACAGCCTCCGAATTCCAATCAATTCTTGGTGGACTCCATATTACCTACGGCTACTATAATCGTGCATATAATAGCCTATGCAGTACTCCTCACATGCATTGCGCTGCTTTTGACATTCACGCCTTTTATTCTATTATGCGTATGCCAAGTACATGTATAGAGGCTGGGCTGAGCAGATGAGACACACGACGCCGCAAGGAAAGGGAGAGAAGGGAAGGGGGCCCTTGGCATCAAAAACGAGCCAAAGAGGCAAAAACCAGGCCGCCATGGTTTCGGGACGCATACGCGGGCCGTGGAGAGTAGCGCTGGCCTTGATCATCTGGCGGTGGGCCCGTTTTAGCGATCGGTTAGCCAAGGGCCCTTGTATGGACGCCTTGCAAGATGCTGCTGTGAATGATGGCCGTCTCCGATTGGCAGTGGCTGATGGGCTGGGCTTCTGCGTTGATGGCTTTGGGTTCCAAAGAAATGTATGTATGGTGACATCAGTTTGGACGAGATGGTCAGTTGTCCGAGGTTTTTACTTGACGATCTCGTGAACTATCGGGAGAGGAAACGAGACTACGTAAAAGAGAGGGGAGTCCCGCTCAGAGGGGAAACAATATTCGTGTTTTATTAAATCAATCCATCTTTTGCTGCAATGACACCACACATGACCTGGGGGTTTTGCTTCACCGCATCCTCGCAATGCCGGCAATGAACAACAACCCCCCTTAGCAGGTATGTACCAAGGAAAAATCCAAGGCTGGGACTCAATGTTAAAAATCAAAGAGCAAAAAAAGCAACACCACCTGCATCACCTCCCTACAGCTTTTTAGCGAGGTCTGCCGGGTATCAATGGGTAACAAATTGATGGCTTACATGCCGCCAAACGGCAGTGGGGTGGAGGTGATTGGCTCCGGATACGCATTCGAGTAAAGAAGGAAAGGGCTTACATAGGTAGGTAGAGCTAAAAAAGCAAACAAGAGATTCGAGTTTAGAGAGAGGGAAAAGCAAAGAAAAACGAACCATGAAATGGACCGATTATTTCGGCTCGGTCTAGCTGGAGCGGTCGCCCCTGTCCGTGGCTGTAAGGGAGGAAGTGGTGTAAGCGTGTCTATGTAAGGACTGTACGGGCTGCATTTACTTACACCTAGTAGTGTTTGCTGTTTATTATTTACTTGAAAACAGGCTTCATCCAAGTATTAGATAGTATGTCTCGTCAAATAGAGGCTTGGGAATCATGCCTTCAAAACAGCTGGTTGTGGCCGTCGTGACCCGACAAAGCGAAACGAGAGCGGCCCAACTCCAAGGGCTCGGATTTTGGCGATGCTTGGCTTGGGATCGTAAGTGACAAACCCCCTGTCGACCCCCTCGCCTCTGTTACCCGGTCCCAGCGAGCTTGTCGTCTCAAATCCAGCCGTGGTCCCGGCATTGGGCTGCCGCCATGGGACGGGGCTCAGCTCCAGTTTCCAGAGAACTAATAGTGGACGCGGCATGTAAGGTGTTGATGGCTTCAGTATTTCGGGCCCTTGACAGCGAGTGATTGCATACTGTACTTTGCGTCGCTCGTACATGGCATATGCACGTACAAGTAGTTGTTGCATGTTTGGGATAAATGGGAAGCGGCTGTGAGGGTGACGGCGGGAGAGCATGCTTGATGTGTACATGCATTAGGTAGCAGACGAGGAGCTCCTATTAGGTACCGAAATGGACTCACGCGCGCTGCCTGGAGCTGCTATGCCCCATAATGGTACATACTCCGCAGGTGCATTGGGAGACGAAGCGAAACGCCTGACAACTCATACCAGCAGAGCCAGTGGCGAGCTCTGCCCACCGGTCCAGCCATCCATCGTGGCCTTGGTGGCGTTCCCAGCAGCCAGGTGTGGGGATTAGAATCCCACGGCACTTGAAATTGTGTCCAGGTCAAGAGAGGGGCTCGATTTAAGACGAAAGTCTAGGCTTCCTCTTTGCCGAACTTCTTTGAAACGAGCATCTACTGTACGCTTTAAATGACAAGCGATGTTATGCTATGGCTTGAAGCCGTCCGTGCCTAAAGCTGAGCGGTGGTGGAGATTGGATGGCTGAGAATCCCTGGCCGTGCGTTCGCCAAACAGGCTTTGCGGCTGCATATGCACTCTGACAGGACTAACAACTCAAGTGTATGATCCAAGAGCCGTACCAAGCCGTAACGAGACCTGACACATACTGTAAGTAAGATTGGTGGCTTGTTGTTGCGGGCAAGATACAAAGGGCAGCTGTCTTGTGTATGAAGATTTACTGAGTCGTTTGCATAAAACGTGTATTATTGGTGAGAGAGGAACAAGAGACAAATAGACATGTTTGCTATTACGGGCGTATCCACCTGGAGCTCGATCGATCGATCGATCCTTTATCTGGGGAAGAGACTGCTACTATTAATACATTATGTCGAAAGGTCAAAAGTAAAGAAAAAGGTTCTCATCGCGACTTGACATGTAGATTTTCATTACTACCGCCAGCAATAAGACGCTTCTCGTATTCGCGCTCAAGGTAAAAACAAAATGTAGATTTCCCTCTCAAAAGATCACCTTTGATGCTACGCTAAGCAGCCAAGCCGCATCACTCCAGCCTCCCTCGTCCGTCGTTGGAGGCGGCACAAAGTCCTCTGGATCCAAAGGCCCCTCGACGTGACGCTTCAGCCAAGCACTGCGGTCCACGTGCGATTGCGAATCTGCCAGTGACTCGTCGTACTCTGACTCGTCGTCATCGTCTGTCTCCTCCTCGTGCTCGTCCACCGAAAAGAGCGACCATCCCATGAATCCAGTCATCCACGAGGCCTTGGCCCCGGTGCCGCGCCGCATCAGCCTCTTGACGTCGGCCTCGGCGTCTTCGAGCGTGTCTCGCTCCAGCTCTTCCAGCCTCTCGTCGAGATCGACAAAGTCGGGGCCGGCGAGCGACTCGTGGTTGGGGAAGTAGGAGCCCTCGTCCAGGGTTCGTTCTATCGGCGTCATGAGCTGGCTCCGGCTGCCGTGGATGCTGTGCGATCGGCTCTGAGACCGACTGTGGATTTTGCTTCCAATGACGGAAATGGACATGTCGTCGTCGGCCAGACTGCCGCGTCTGCTTGTAAGCATGCTGGTGATTTCTCGTTCTCGCGCGAGCTCGTCTTCAAACGCAGCGTCTTCAATGTTCCGGATGCCTGTGAGGCTTGTAGAGCTCTGGCGCGAGATGAGCCATGATTGGCCCTTGTATTCTCTCGCTTCAAACGTCATCATTGCGCCAGTCCTTAGCAGCCAATCGCCATCAGGCCCCTCGTCATGCCGCCGGCGGGGGGTCATGGTGCCGGACGTGGACTTCTTCGTCGCATGGCCGCTGGCAAGGTGCGACGACGATTTGCTTTTGGTGATTGGGGCGCCTGAAGCAGAGGGTGTGCGGTTTCGTGATCTCGAGCGCGAGCGAGGGTTGGTTGCGGAGCTGGCGAGTAGCCGAGGCGTGGTGGGAGCGGATTTGCCTTGTAGATACGAAGTGCTGGGACGCGGCATCGGCAGGCCAGCATCATCTAATAGTTCTTCGTCATCGAGGGGAAGCTTTGTGGTCAGAGGAGCAAGCGAGAGATGGTTGAGATTGGTGGATGACCGGTTCTTGCGGCGGACGCGCTCGGCATGAGGAATGTAAGAGACGTCCATGATGGAGGTGCAGGTAGTTGGTCAGAAAGCCGCCGATAGCAAAAGTAGTCAATTAGAGCTTCTCAGAGTCTTTCAAACGAAAGGACTCAGACAGTGAATTAAAAGAAAATCACAATCGGCGGTCAGCGGCGAGAAATGACACAACAAGCAGGCAAGGGAAGTCAAAGAGAGGAGTCGGGCGTTGGTTTGAGATTCGATGGCTTTAGCTCCAGCAGGGAAAGCAAGTTCCCGAGGTTTGGAGGTCACCTGTGATTCGCCGAGTGCCGTCACCAGCCGCTGTTGCACGCACTGTAGAGCCGCTAATGACGCTGCAAAATTGCCGGTCTCGTGGTGATTTACAGTTGATGTTGCATTTGCGGGTGGTAATGGATGCAACTGACGATTCCTATTTGTTTTCGCTTCATGTCGATAGGAGGGACTAATAATAGACTAACAATTGAAGAAAAATATGAAGTGATATATCCAACTATATTGAGACTAGTTTGCCTTACATTCCTTTGGTATCTTACAGATAGATTCAGGTTTGTTTACTGAGCTCCAGACATGATTCAACTTTGGGGCCGTTAGCGCCGATCTGGCGCAAAAGTTACAATGGGTTCAGGCGGCGAGCCACCAAAATCTCTGAGACCCAGTCCAGCTTTGGGAGACAGAACGAAAAGAAAAAAAAAAAAAAAAAAAAAAAGTCCCGTCAACGCCTGACTGAAACGAGCATCGAATGCAACCTTGAGACACCAAGGAGCTAAACAACGAAAGCGAGAAGAGCAGATCGAGGCTCAGTCGTCCGATTCTTCACGCAACGCTCACCCGCTCCATCAGCCCATCGACAAGGGTTCATTTTTTCTTTTCTTCTTCTTTGTTCCATGCGCTGAGCCCCTCCAAAGCCGCCGCTTCACGATGCGCAACCTTCGCAACCTCCGATTCGGAAGATGGCGGCATCCGGACTTGACTGCCGCCTGCTGGGATCCCGAGACTGACGAAATCGTGTGCTCCATTGGGCCGACCGAGCAGAATCAGACCATCGAGCTGGTGAGGCTGTCGGACAAGGATTCAATGTGCGTCTTTGCGAATATTTGCTGTTTTGTGAGACTCGAGGCGGGGGCGGGGCAGCAACTTTTACTGCTTGGACTTTTTGTGGCTGCTTTGTCGTTGCAGCGAATATCTGATAATACTGATTAAAAAAGGAAGAAGAGGAAGAAGAAACACCACAACTGACATGGAATTCAAGAACTCGTCGCACACTCGCCCGCTGGGATGCGCCCAGTCCCACCCCCGATCTCCTCGTCGACCGAATCGTCAACCTCCAGTACTTGAGCGGCAGCGGCACGACATGCGTCGTTTTGGAAGGCGGCGACATCATTACGGTTCGCGAAGAACCAGGCGGGCCCTTCGATGTGCACATTGAAATCATGGGATCCATCGATGCCGGCATTGCGGCGGCGCGATGGTCTCCCGACGGCGAGCTGCTGACGGTGGTCACAAAGGCCGATACCGTCGTCTTCATGGGCAGCACATTCGACCCTGTCGCCGAGATTACCATGACAGAAGAGGATCTCAAGGCGTCAAAGCACGTTTCCGTAGGCTGGGGCAAGAAAGAGACGCAGTTCGAGGGCCGCGGCGCCAAGGCCCTCCGAGATCCCACGATCCCACTCAAGGTCGACCAGGGCCTTCCGAGCTCCAACGAAGATGCATCTGCGTCCATCAGCTGGCGGGGAGATGGCGCATATGTAGCCGTCAACTCGGTGCAAAGCGGCTCTCGGCGCGCCATCAGAGTCTACTCTCGCGAGGGAGAGCTGGACAGTGTCAGCGAGCCCGTGGACGGATTCGAAGGCGCTTTGAGCTGGAGGCCGTCTGGTAATCTCATTGCCGGTATTCAGCGCTTGGCGGACAGAGTCGACGTTGTGTTTTTCGAGCGCAACGGTCTGCGCCATGGACAGTTTACTCTGCGATCGCCAAATGGCTCCCCCTTGGATGCTAGCGACACCAAGATTCGCCTTGAGTGGAACTCAGACTCGACTGTTTTGGCTGTTATTCTCAGCGATACGATTCAGCTCTGGACGACGGGCAATTACCATTGGTATCTGAAGCAAGAAATTGCCATGGACCCTGGGTTTGCCTGTCTGGCCTGGCACTCGGAGAAGGCCCTTCGATTTGCTGCAGTGTCGACAGAGAGCATGATACTCGCCGAGCAAATCTTTCACACATCTCGAGGTTCATGCCGGCTACCGTATGATAATGGAGTAGTTGCCGTCATCGATGGTGAAACTGTCAAGATCACGCCTTTCCGCACTGCCAATGTGCCTCCGCCCATGTCCTTGTTCGAGGTCAAGGCGGAGTCTTCAGTCGTTGACGTAGCATTTGGACGCCAAAACTCTTCATTCGCGATTCTGCACCAGAAAGGTGTAGACCTCTATGAGCTGCCCTTGAAAAATGGGCGATCGATCAAGCCGGTAGAGGTGCTTAAGCTACCTTTTGATACCCCTAATATGCCAGAGCATCATATACCTCTACGAATCTGCTGGGTGGCGGACAACAGCTTGCGTTGTATGAGCTACCAGGATGATTTGGGCCATCTGCAGCTGGTGGTATCGACTGGCGAAGGAAACACTGCTGAAATTAGCATGCTGGATAGTAACCTTGTCCTCGGGGCCACCGCGACTCGTGAGGATGATTCTACTGTTGAGAGCTATGGCCAAGACCAATCCGGCAGGTTGTACAGACTCTCAAACTCGGGAGATGAGATTCTTCCATTCCAATTCACAACCCAGCTTCCGTGGTTCGAAGTCAGTAAGCAGGAAGAAATCGAGATGGCTTTTGGACTTTCGAGAGCGGGACACATCTTTGCCAACTCTAGATTGTTGGCCAAGAATTGCACTTCTTTTGTTGTTACGCCAAATCATCTCATCTACACTACTAGCAACCACTTTGTCAAGTACGTGCACTTGACAGCAGATGTTGAGGGTATGTTATATGTTACCTCAAAAAAAAAAAAGAAACCCATCCTCAGTAATATCATGCTAACTGGACGCAGATTTGGAAGTCCCTGGTGATGATCCCGAAAAGGATGAGCGTTGCCGCAGCGTAGAACGTGGTTCTCGTCTGGTCACGGCAATGCCAACCAATATGAGCATTGTGCTTCAAATGCCACGAGGCAACCTAGAAACCATCTTCCCCAGAGCCATGGTTGTCGCTGGTATCAGAAGCTTAATCGACGAGAAGAACTATGCGCGGGCATTTTCATACTGTCGATCACAGCGAGTTGATATGAACATTCTGTATGATCACAAGCCCGAGCAGTTTCTCTCAAGCGTTGGGGTCTTCTTGGATCAGCTCAGCGAGGTCTCTTATATCGACCTGTTTCTCTCATCGCTTAGAGAGGAAGATGTCACGCAGACCATGTATCAAGATACAAAGCGATCCAAGTCTCACTTTCACAGCATCAGCGCAGTCCCAGAAACGCTTCCCGCTACAAAGCCTCAAGGCTCCAAGGTCAATGCAATTTGCGACGCAGTTCTTAAAGGCCTCCAGCCCCTCAAAGCAACTCATCTCCAAAACATCATCTCCGCCCATGTCTGCAAAGTGCCTCCTGCTATGGATGACGGATTGACTCTTGTTGCTGAGCTGATGCAGGAAGACGAGAAACTAGCCGAAAAAGCAGTAGAGCATATCTGCTTCCTTGTGGATGTTAACCGAGTCTATGAGAATGCATTGGGCCTGTACAACCTTGATCTTGCGTTACTTGTTGCACAGCAATCTCAGCGAGATCCAAGAGAATATCTCCCCTTTATTCAAAACCTGCATGTTCTTTCTGAGCTTCGTCGCAAGTTTGAGATTGACGACCACCTCGCCCGCCGGCAGAAAGCACTGGGCCACCTTCAGGCTCTTGATGCCTTTGATGAATTGTGCAAGTACACTAGCAAGCACGACCTCTACCAAGACTCCCTCAAACTGTATAGATACGACCCGCCCCGCTTGCAGACACTAACTGAAATCTATGCCATCTACCTGGAATCGAAATCTCAATACCGGGAAGCAGGTCTGGCATACGAATCAATCAGAAACTACGCCAAAGCCACCAATTGCTATCGCTCAGCCGGTGCCACATGCTGGCAGGAATGTCTCTTCACAGCCTATCAGCAAGACCCTCCTCTTTCTGCGGATAGCAAAGCCGAGCTTGCTACCGCCCTCGCGGACGCTCTCTGGGAGGCCAAAGATTTCTCATCTGCTGCGACTATTCACCTCGACTACCTTTCTTCGCTTGAGACCGCCGTCAAGTGCCTGTGCCGTGGTTATCACTTTGCCGAGGCCATTCGTCTCGTCATTCAACACTCACGTCCCGAGCTTCTTGAGAGCGCCATCGATGTTGGACTCGCCGAAGCACTTGGCCGGACGACTGAGTTCTTGGCCGACTGCAAGGCCCAACTTCGTGCCCAGGTTCCTCGTGTGGCCGAGCTGCGCCTAAAGGCCGCTGAAGACCCCCTGGCCTTCTACGAAGGTGAACGTGCTGGCGGGCTGGATCTACCCGACGACGTCTCCGTAGCAGCAAGCTCGCGCGTCAGCACCTCTGCGAGTTTGTTCACACGATACACCGGCAAGGCGGGCAGTGTGGGCACCGCCGGCACGGGAGTCAGCCGCGCCACGAGCAAGAACCGTCGCAGAGAAGAGAAGAAGCGCGCTAGAGGACGAAAGGGCACCGTGTACGAGGAGGAATATCTGGTCAACAGTGTGCGACGACTTATCGAGCGCGTGGAGGCAGCGAAGTCTGAAGTCGAGAGGCTGGTTTTCGCGCTCGTCAGGAGAGGCATGGCTGAGCGGGCGAGAGCGGCGGAGGCGCTGATGGCGGAAGTGACGGAGGCGTGTGAAGTTGCCGTGAGGGAAGTATTTGCCGTTTCGGCGGCGCAGCAACTTCAGCAGCAGCAGGAACAGGAACAGCAGCAGCAGCAAGCTGATGAGGCGACGTGGAAGGCTTCGGGCGGAGAGGGCGTGTTTCAGGAGTTTATTCA